CACTGTGTCCCAGTGCGCTGGGTTGATGACGTATCCGAAATGAGCTCAGGAATGAATATTATGTCAAGCCCTACAGGCAGATGTGTTCTGACATAATGATTAAGGATCTGAGTGGTACTAATTTTGGAAATGAATAAGAAGTTGATTAATTATTTTGTTAGTAATTTAGTTAATCAGCGACCGTTATATTTTAAACATAGGGAGATAAATCGGTCAATTAGATTAATATACTTTAATCAAGTGGAGGTTCGAATTTATTGAATAAATTAGAGCTAAATGGAGAGAGCAACAATATTACTCTAGTGGAATGTTTTATTATTTAATTCTATTTAGGAATTAGAAATTAATTATATTCCATAATTAAGATTCTATTAGGAGAGGAATATTCTTTCTAGAATATTACCTAGGGTTAGGAGACTATGGAGTCTTCTAGAAGGTAATAAAAGTTAGGAGGAATGGGACTTCTAGATGTGATAGAATATGGAGCATAATTAGGATTCCTAAGCCTAATGGGATAAGCCCATATTTAGCACCTCCTTAAGGTCCCTAATGTAGCCTATAAATACACCATGTCCCAACCTCTCTTATGTGTGTGTGTGTGTGAGATCCGATTTTAAGGTCCTATTCGGGAGAAGAAAATCGTGTTCTTCATATATTCAAGGGTTAGGGAGTTTCGATTAATTGCCCACCAAGATTATTCGAAGTAGGTGTAAAGGTAATACATTAAAAGGCTTTAGGGTATAATATTTATTGAGCTTTTTATGTATATATATTTTTCGACGACCCTACGTATTTCCTGTGACCAGCCGGAGCTTAAGAAATCACCGACAACTCGCCGACATCCGCTCAGCACCACCAGTTTTTTTCAATCCACGCCCAGTTCGCGCGTGCAAGATCCTGCAGGCAGGGAGTAGTCCAGTCCACGCGAAGCCCAGATCCCAGTTTCGCTTCCTCTAGTCCACCGTGGCGTAAGGTCCAGCAGCGAAGCCCAATGGAAGAGGCCCATTACGCGTGCGATCCAACAGAGAAGAAAAACGTGTGGGCTGTGAAGCCCGCGTCTCAGTCTGCGCAACCCGATCCCGCTCTCAGCTCTAAGCCCGCGCTAGGCCCGCGTTTCCTTAGCTCCTGGCCAGCGAGGGGCCCTATCCCAGCCCGCATGAAGGCCCTGTTCTGAAACACGACTCCTTGGCCCAAGTGCAACGTTTTGCATGGCCCAACAGCTTCATGCGTGCGGCCTAGCTAGCAAGGACGGCCCAGTTGATGCCCAGAAGCGTCCAGATGCGTCCACATCACTCCAGGTGGCCCAGATCATGACAGCAAGCTCAAACTCGGTCCATGAGCAGTCCAGCAGGTCCAGCAACTTCGGTTCATGTCCAAGGCAGTTCCCGAGCGGTCTGAGGAGTCCGACTCACTTACCAAAGGTTCAAGTTGATCCGATGAGCTTGATGAGCGATTAGAGCACCTTGATGAATCGATTAGAATTGAGAAAGGCCAAGTCCATCTACCCATTAGATTTTGGTGTTCAGACGATCTCCATCGGCGGAAATAAGAAACGTCTTAGAGTCGGCAAACAATTTAAACCGTAAGTCCTAATCCTAACTATAGATTCTGCTGCGTTAGAATTTATTATTCAATAGGTTTGAATGTGCACATTGTCGACGTTCCTAATAGAACCCAACACTTTCTTGGAAGAAGACTATATTATGAATCACAAGCCCGCGAGTAGACTAGTCTTAGAGGAGTTAGGGGGTGAAGACGATAATTCCCCACCAAGTGCACAAGTAGATACATCACATTATACTACAACACAACACATTGAGAGTGTACCAGTGCAAATAGTACCTCGTCGTAGTGGGAGTATTTCTCAGTTACTGACCGATGGATATGTCTTGGAGAGTTTTCGGGCTCAGTTCCAGGAAACCTAGATCAGACCCAAGGACCTACAACGAGGCACTCCAAGATAAAGATGCAGATTCATGGAATGTTGCAATGAATGCTGAAATGGGGTCAACGAACTCTAATCATGTCAGGGATCTTGTAGAACCAACTGATGGGGTACGCCCTATTGGATGTAAGTGGTGTTGGGATCTATGAAGATCTCGTTATTTACAAATCACGAATTCAATAGCAAACGTAAACCTATGCGCAATGGATATAAAGGTTTGCGTAGAAAACTTACGG